ATTATTATCATTATTATTATTATTATTATTATCATCATCATCATCATTATTATTGTTATCGTTATTATTATTATCATTATTATTATGATGATGATTATTATTATCGTCATCATCGTTGTTGTTATTATTATTATTTCGCAGTTAAGTAGTTAAGTATACCTTGCATTGCTTCTGTCATTTATTCCATCGGGATTTTTTTAAAGATTTTGTAAATCATATTTAGTATTTAATGAAAACAATGGAAAGTTATAGCTATAGATATAGGACAAATATAATGATATACAGATCCATGTGCTGGGAGATTACAAGAATAGATCTGATCTACAACAGTAATGAATACCATGGACAAGTCAGATAATCAGATTTTATACATTCCAACCAAACTGTCAACTTTAAATGTGCACAGGGATAATTAAATAGATCATAGCTCAGATGTCTTTACATGTGTGAATATGTATTGTACAGTATATACTATCGATATGTACATATCGTCTATATATAATAAGTATTGTATTGTATGTTCCTGACTGATCATGGCAAGGGTGTCGGATATTATAGCATGGTCCCGATTGATCATTGCATGTTTTTAGATATCATAGCATAGGTCAAAGATATTATTGCATATGTCTCAGATATCATGGCATGGTCCTGATTGATCATTGCATGTTTAGACATCATAGCATGGGTCACCGTAATACTGCATGTGTTTCATGAATATCGCATGTATCTCTGTATCTTACTGGTTTATCATTACATGTGTAATTATAAGATATCATTGTATGTTCCTGACTGATCATGGCAAGTGTCTCAGATGTTATAACATGGCCCTGATTGATCATTGCATGTTTAGCATCATAGCATGGGTCACCGTCTAATACTGCATGTGTTTCATGAATATCGCATGTATCTCTGTATCTTACTGGTTTATCATTACATGTGTAATTATAAGATATCATTGTATGTTCCTGACTGATCATGGCAAGTGTCTCAGATGTTATAACATGGTCCTGATTGATCATTGCATATTTTTGGATATCATAGGACACAGATATTATTGTATGGTCCTGATTGATCATTGCATATTTTTGGATATCATAGCATAGGACATAGATATTATTGCATGGTCCTGATTGATCATTGCATATTTTTGGATACCATAGCATAGGACACAGATATGATTGCACGGTCCTGATTGAATATCGCATGTTTTTAGATTTCATAGCATAGGACACAGATATTATTGCTTGGTCCTGATTGATCATTGAATGTTTTTATATATCATAGCATATCGGACACATATATTATTGCATGGACCTGAATGATCATTGCGTGTTTTTATATATCATAGCATATAGGACACAAATATTATTGCATGCGTCTCAGATATGGCATGTGTCTTTGATATCACTGCATGTCACTGGTAATATCATTGTCTGTATGTCAGATATCGCATGTGTCTTAGATAATACTGTATGTTACTCATATATCATTGCATGTGGCTCAGATATCATGCATGCTTCTAACATATTATTGCGTTGATATCATTGCATGGTTTTTTCATTGCATATGTCTCACATATCATTGTAAGTTCCCGATTTGTCATAGTATGTTACATATTCATAATTTTTACATGTTTCTCCGAAGTAATTGTATGTTCTGTATAGATCATTGTATGTGCTTCCTTTCTTTCAATAAGTGAGTGTAGATGCTTCTCTTTTCTGTGAAGTATGCCAGTGTAAGCCTGCAATAATCATCCACCTGCTACAAAAAAGGGGTCCTATTGCAATAGAGGTGACACCTCCCCAATGTACACACAGCCAGGCTGACTTATCTGCTCTTGTATTTCTGCTTCAAAGCTTGGCGGAGCAGCACGATTTAAATACAATGCAGCACATCTAGTTGTCTCAGGTGCTGTTTTAGGGAAAGATTTAATCTCAGATCTAAAGTCCCTTATAGTGTGGTGGAGTGTCCTAGCAGATAGACATTTATGTATGTATTTATTTCTGATTATTTCAAGTAATTGATAGGTAGTCAACACAACACACATATATGAACATGCACTGAGGATTATTTATGAAAGAATGAGTGTTCACTGTTCATAGCTTAGTGAATACCTTGGAACTATAGTCACTTCAAGAATCCAAACACCTGCAAGCAAAAATCCTGTTTTTCGTTGTCTTTGCAGTGATTGGATATTTAAAGTGGATACAGCTTCACCTTATTTTCTAAGTAAAGGTTGCCTTTACAAAAAGAGCATTCATAAGTTAAGAATTTCTACTCCTTTACTAGATCAGAGACTGTTTAGTTAACATAATAAATGTCTGCCTTGCAAAGTGAATGTCTTGGTAAATAGGATAAAACTGTGTTCCCTCATTTGCTAATGATCATATTTTTTGCTCATTACTGAGAGTTCAGTGTGAACTCAGGTTCACCATATTTACTAATACTGACTTTGCAACGTGAACAATCTTAGCTCCCTAAATGAATCTCCCTATGTACATACACGATCCATGCTGACTTATTTGTAGTCTGCAATTGTATCTTTAGGTGCTGTCCCCCTATTGAACCGTATACCCTTATCGCCCTTTTCAGAAATAATGATGACCTCTCACCCTACTACTCCATTATTAGTTGTCTGCCAATTACTTTTTATATAAAGTCCTTTACTAAATAGGTTTCTATTTAGGTCCTCCTGAGTGCAAATGCAGCTCCTTCTCAGCGTTATCAGGGTCAGCCACAACTGGCACACAGAGGCTGCCAGCATCCGCAACGCTTCCTGGAAGGTCACAGCTCATACACGGGAAAGTGATTTAGGGACCCTGATGGCTGCGCAGGATGACAGTCCTAATGTTGGGACAAGCCAGGGAGCCTCCCAGTATAAAGTGACATTTGTCACCCGGTAACCACATGCAGGACACTGTCGGTCACTGATTATCAGGAGCAGTCAGTAAGACTAACAAAGTGCAGAGACCCAGATTCCAATGTTATATTGGGCTGATACATTCTACTTATAGACTACTGCACTTTGCACGTCCTAATCTAGTACACAATCCGTATGAATCTCAGTGTTCTAGGTTCTCCTGTACACAGATTTATACACAGGGTGCTAGACCAATACAAACCCGGATCAAAGATTAACTTGTGATTGGAAATTAAGAAAATCTTAGAACACACATCAATTACCCTCTCTCATTTATCTTTATATCATCAATATCTATCTATCTATCTATCTATCTATCTATCTATCTATCTATCTATATCCATATCTATATATGTATATATATCTATATATGTA